CCTATAAATATATTTAGGATTTGAGGCTGGAGGGGTGGTGGGAGGGCCTGAGTTTTCACTTTATTTTGTTTTATTGTTGTTGAGAATATACACAGCAAAACATACACCAATTCAACAGTTTCTACATGTCCAATTCAGTCACATTGATTACATTCTTCGAGTTGTGCAGCATTCTCACCCTCTTTTCTGAGTTGTTCCTCCCCCATTAATATAAATTCACTGCCCTTAAGGTTCCTATCTAATCTTTCAAGTTACTGTTGTCATTTTGATCCCATATAGATAGTTCTTAAAAGGACTTAATGCTCAAGGCAGACATTTTTTAATAGTCAAGCTAAACTATTGTTTGGTTTTAAGAATACTTCAGGGGATATTTTTGGTCTAAGTTTTAAAGATTATCTCAGGGCATCATCCAAACTTCATGGTTCCAGGAAGTCTGAATGCCATGAGGTTTTGAAGTTCTGTCATACATTTCCCTCTTTTGATCAGGATTCTTCTATACAGTCTTTGATCAAAATGTTCAGTAATGGTAGCTAGGCACCATCCAGTTCCTCTGATCTCATGGCAATGGAGGCAACTGGCCACACATTCCATATCCTCCTTCTATCCCTGACACTCCCTTCTTCGTCTGTTGCTCCAGGCAAATAGAGACCAATTTGCGAGCCTTGGATGGCTGCTTGCAAGCTTTTAAGACCCCAGGCACTATGCAAGGAACAAGGAGGTAGAACAGAAGCAATAAGCATATTATTGGGCCAGTTAAGTGGGATATCCCATGAAACCATGACCCTAACCTCCAACCAAGAAACAAATCCCATGAGTATTTTGGTTGTACGTTAGCAGCCTCAGCAGCTACTCTTTTTTGTTGTTGTTGTTCTTATGTCTATTATATAACTTCTGTTAATTCAACTTTTTACAGGTGTACAACTTATTGACAGCAATTACAGTAATCAGCTGTGCAACCATACCCTTAATCAATGTGATGTTTCCATCACTGATAACCCTCCCTCCTGCCCCTGGTAACCAGTAATAAACTTTGTTCTTTATACATTTGCCTTTTCTTGTGTTTTTATATAAGTGAGGTCATACAATATTTGTCCTTTTGTGATTGACTTATTTCACTCAGGATAATGTCTTCCAGCTCCATCCAGACGGTAGCGTGTGTCAAGACTTCATTTCCCCTGTTGGCTGGGTAATATTCCATTGTATGTATGTACCACATTTTGTTTATCCATTCATCTGTTGATGAGTATTTAGGTTGTTTCCACCTTTTGGCTATTGTGAATAATGCTATAATGAACGTTGGTGTACAACTATCATTTTGAATTCTTGCTTTCAAGTCTTTTTGGGTATATACCTAGGAGCCCTGGTGGCACAGTGGTTAAAACACTCGGCTGCTAACCAAAAGGTTGGCGGTTTGAACCACCAGCTGCCCTGTGGCAGAAAGATGTGCCAGTCTGCTTCCGTAAAGATTTACAGCCTTGGAAACCCTATAGGGCAGTTCTACTCTGTCCTGTAGGGTTGCTGTGAGTTGGAATCAACTTGACGGCAGTGGGTTTTTGGATTTTTACTTAGAAGTAGAATTGCTAGGTCATAGCCCTGGTGGCACAGTGTTTAAGAGCTTGGCTGCTAACCAGAAGGTTGGCTGTTAAAATCCACCAGCTGCTCCTCAGAAACCCTACGGGGCAGTTCTGCTGTGTCTTATGGGGTTGCTGTGAGTCGGAATCAACGAAACAGCAGTGGGTTTTATGGTAGTTTCTAGTTTTCATTTTTTGAGGAACTGCCACACTGTTTTCCACAGTGGCTGCACCATTTTGTATTCCCATCAGCAATGAGTAAGGCTTCCAGTTTCCTCACATCCTTGCCAGCATTTGTTATTTTCTTTTTTTTTTTTAATCTTAGCCATCCTAGTGGGAGTGAAATGGTATCTCATTGTGGTTTTGATTTGCATCTCTCTGATGGCTAATGAAACTGAGCATCTTTTCATGTGTTTGGTGGCCGTTTGAATGTTCTCTTTGGTGAAATGTCTATCCAAGTCCTTTGCCCATTTTATGATTGGGTCATTTGTCTTTTTGTTGTTAAGTTGTCAAAGTTTTACATATGTTTTGGTTTGAGTTCTTCATCTTGATACAATCAGTCTTCGTCTTCTTTTCTTTAAAGCCTTCTTTCTTCTGTTGCCCCCAAGCATAACTCATCCCTCCATTCTTTCTAGTTCACACAGCATTTTGTCTTTACATCTTTCACAGCACTTATTCCATCTTAACATTGTTAAGATGTCTGAAGTAGATTCTGTAGCGCAGACATCTGTAGGTATCAAATTACTGCAGATGTTTCAGCCAGGGTGGAGAACAACTGGTTGAGCCGCAAGCAAATGAAAACAGGCCTTAAAAATAGTATAAGGACTGCTCTACAGGAAACATTCACAATGGCTCCCCTCCTAGGAATGCATTGCATTGGGCAAATCTGTTGCAAAAGACCTCTTTAAAGTGTTAAAAAGCAAAGATGTCACTTTAAAGACTAAGATGCCCCTGACCCAAGCCATGGTATTTTCAATTGTCTCATATACATGTGAAAGCTGGACGATGAATACAGAAGACTGAAGAAGAATTGACACCTTTGAATTATGGTGTTGGTGAAGAATATTGAATATACCATGCACTGCCCGAAGAATGAACAAATCTGTCTTGGAAGAAGTGCAGCCAGAATGCTCCTTAGAAGTGAGAATGGCTAGACTTTGTCTAACATACTTTGGACATGTTATCAGGAGGGACCAGTCCCAGGAGAAGGACATCATGCTTGGTAAAGTAGAGGGTCAGTGAAAAAGAGGAGGACCCTCAATGAGATGGATTGACACAGTGGCTGCAACAATGGGCTCAAACAGCAATAATTGTGAGGATGGCGCAGGACCTGGCAGTGTTCTGTTCTTTTGTACGTGGGGTCGCTATGAGTCAGAACCTACTCGACAACACTTAACAATAACCCCTCTTAGGAGCCATTCACATTGCAAACGATTGGAATTGACAAAAAGACACGAAGATACCAAGAACATATACATATTGATCAGAGAATTGCCAAGAAGATACCAAGATCAGATGTCAGATAATGCTTTTATGCAGAGTACTTAAGGCCCTTAAGGGACTAGTAGGAAATAAGAAGCTCAGGTGGGCCCAGAGTCTTTTATAAGCCTTACTCTTCATTTCATGCTGTTCTCTACCCCCCCCAGTTTATTTTTTCTGAATGTCTTGGAGATAAGGAGAAACCATTGAAGGACATTAAGCAGGGTGATGACATTGGATTTATGCTGTAGAAACATTACTCTGGCAACCCTGGGGAAGATGCATCACAGTCAAATGAAATAAAAGATGGAGAGCCCAGCTAGAAAGCTATTACTATGCTGGACAAGAACCCATGGGTGGAAGCAGCGGCATTAGAGATAGATGGATAGAAAGAGATCAGAGCAAGATTCAGGTATAGAATGTGTAAGATTGAGTCACTGATCAGATGTGAGGGGAAACACCAGTTAGAAGTTAAGTGCACATTGATCCTTGCAGGTCTGTGATAAAATATTACAACCCTCAAAAGACATTGGATTTAAGTACTTTTTTGTAACAGGAAAGAAAATGTACCTATAAAAGAAGAGCAGTTTGGCCAGCATTTGATCAGATTGCAGACCTTTTTTTATCCCTAGGAATGAAAAGTTAACTGTTTTAATCATTCTGTTTCTTCTGTTTTCCAAGCCTGACCCTAATTTTCTTCTACAACCATTTCTCGCCCTAAGCCTCAAATGTTAGTTCACAAATCTTACTTTTAGGGAAGCTGTTTGATTTTCTCTCTCTCTCATGACAAATATACTGATCATGTTTAGGGCTAATTGTATGCAGTTTAATTTTAGAATTGTGGCAATCATTATTGCTGTTTTTGTTTTCTTTCCCTCGTCCTCAGGCATAGTCAGCTATAGATATTCAACAAAATTATGCCCTTTGGGGCAATTTTCAATTTTCTCACTTTGGGAGGCAGATTTTTGTGTCAGTCGTGAAGGGTTCAGATTTGGATTATTAAACACTTGAGGCCTCCACCCCCGCCCACCCCCATTTCCACATTGGGCCATTTAACACTCCACATTTCCTTGTAAATGGAAAACTCAGCCCATCTGTATGCGATTTGAATATTTTTGAAGATCTCATCTAATTTAGGAGTGTAGGCGTGTGTCCTCCAAACCCCTATTCTGTTTCTAGAAAGGCCTGCCAAGTAGGAGGTGAAGCAGAAGCGCTGTGGTATTCGGGGGTGGTGTACAGGAGTGCCCTTGGGGCCTTCTCCTGAGCTCTGCGCCTGGAGAAGCATGTGGCCATGGGGTTGGCCTTCTCACCACAGAAATATTTAAACAGATGTCTGGGAACACGTGCCTGTAGAAGTGTGTTTCCTTTAAAGTAAGCAGGTTATATTGCCACAATTCTCTCACCAGCAGGGCCCCTGGAGGGCCAGGCCTTGATGGAATCTGTTTTTTCCATCTCTAATAGCTAAGGAGCCCTGGTGGTACAATGGTTAAGCCCTTGGCTGCTATCCGAAAAGTTGGCAGTTGGAACCTACCCAGCATCTTAGCAGGAGAAAGACTTGAACATGTGCATCTATAAAGATTACAGCCTAGAAAACCCTGTGGGGCGATTCTGCTATGTCACATGGGGTCACTGTGATTCAGAACCAACTCGAGGGCACCTGACAACAACAACAATAGCTGGTATTGGTTCCTGGGTGGTGCAGATGGTTTGCGCTGACCTACTAACTGAAAGATGGGTGGTTGGAGCCCACCATGTGGCGCTGTGGAGAAAGCCTTGGCGATCTGATTCTCTAAAGTTTAGAAATAAGAAAACCCTATAGAGCAGTTCTACCCTGTAACACATGGGGTTGATGGGTTTGTTTGTTTTTGTAATAGCTGTTATTCTGTGAAGTATGGGAATTGGCTGGGTGGTGAGTCGGATTTAATGGCCGTCTCTGTTTTTCCCCTCCAGAAGTGCATGTTCTGCAGACACCGCATTAAGAAGGTCTCTGGAGCCTGCATCCAGTGTTCCTACGGCCGCTGCCCAGCCTCCTTCCACGTCACGTGCGCCCACGCCGCTGGCGTGCTGATGGAGCCCGATGACTGGCCGTATGTGGTGAACATCACGTGCTTTCGACATAAGGTCAACCCCAACGTGGTAAGGCCTGCCTTCCTCCCTTCGTTGATACAAGTCTGCACGTGAGGCCTTCCTGTACCTCCCCACCCTCCACGCCCAGCATGCTTTGCTCTGCAGTCCCACTCATTGTTAACATGTCTAGACTGTGTGTTCTTTCAGGGCAGGGGTTGTGCTCTATGATTTACTGGCATTTATCTACAATCTGTTGGTGTCTGGTGTGACTAGACACACAATAAATATTTATTGCATTGCATGAGTGAATGAAGAAATGAAGAATAAGACTCCTTTATGCCTGTTCAGGCTTTGAAACCGTGTACAAGGCTGCTGAGTATGGCTGTATAGATTGTACATTGCCCATATCCAGGGTGAGAGGGAGACCATTTCTGGGAGGGAGGCAATGTGTAAAGCCCCACTTGGAATTATGCAGTGTGCAGTCTGTGCAACTGTACACAGTGGCCTTGGAGTTTTATTTAGTCTCTTTTAGAGGAAACAAAGAGCAGGGACACAGTAAAGGGAAAGGAGGGTGGCCGGGAATCTTTGGGGCCTTGCTGCCTGAGATGGGACAAACGAGAGACAGCATGGAGTCAGCAGGAGGAATGAGGAAAATCTCATTCAAAAGCAGGAATGTTGAAGGGAAGTTTAGAGATGAACTTTTTCCACCTTTCCATTTCAGTCAGGACTGGCCCTATTTCTGGGAAAAGAGTGTTTGCAACCACATAGCAAGTAAATTTAACTGTAATTCAGTCTACCTGTTGTATTAGTTTCCAAGGACTGCTGTAACAGAGTACAGGCAGTCCCCGGGTTACGAACGAGATCAGTTCCTAAATCTGTCTTTAAGTCGAATTTGTAGGTAAGTGGAAACAGGCATGTACGGTTCTTACTTATTGTCAGTTAGTCAAATGTTTGTCTTAGTATATATTTTACCTTTATATGCATATAAAACACCTAAGAAACATTTCATGAGCATCACAGAGTACTGTGTGTGTTCGTTATTATGAACCATTTAACTCAGAATTCTAATACAATAGGCTTTATGGAAGTGCATTCTTAAGTATGAGTTGTTGGTAGGTTGGGTGGTCTTAACCTGGGGGCTTACTGTACAACTAAGTAGGTGGTTTATAAGAACAGAAATGTACTGTCTCACAGTCCTAGAGGCTGGCAGTCCAGAGTCATGGTATCAGCCATGTTGATTCCTTCTGGAGGCTCTGAGGAAGAATCTGTTCGTGCCTCAATCCTAGTTTCTGGTGATGGCTGGAGATTCTTGGCGTTCCTTGGCCTGTAGATCACCCCAGTGTCCGCCTCCATCCTCACATGGCCGCCTTGCCTCTGTGCATGTCTCTGTCTCTCTTCTCCTCTTTTATAAGGACACCACTCATTGGATTAGGACCCACCCTACACCAGTATTATATCGTGTTGACTTAATTGATAACATCTTCTAAGACCCTATTTTGAAACAAAGTCACAGGTCCTAGGGGTTAGGACTTCAGTGTAGCTTTTGAGGGGGATACAGTTCAATCCATAACACCTGCACTTGGTGAATGAAATCTCTCCTTTACTTTAAATGCTTAATTTAGAGACAGTTGATAAGCCTTTGGGAGCTTTCCACTTCACTGTAATTGTTGTTTGGCTACCAAGGAGGCGGCTACGGCACTGTACAGACCCTCAGCTTTGCCGACTTGCTGGTCTTTGTTATACTTGGAAAACTCAACCACAGGCTGTTTGCATCCTTAAACGCTTGTTCTGTGTAGGTAATAACCTTTTGTGAGTAGCCTGCCAAGTTGTCATTATTGGCTTGCGGAACCATAACCCATACACACCACGTCTCCCAGCTTTTTAACGATTCCAGCAGTTTCCACCAGTGTCTTTGGCGACGCTTTATTTCTGTGGTTTGGGACTCTGTGTAGATGTATGTGAAGGCTCAAATGTACGAAATGATGTCACCAACTGTCATGTCTATTTTAAAGCTATTTTCCATTGTCTTACATCTCAAGTTGCGTATTCATTCATGCTTTTCCCTTAGTTCCTTGAGTTGATGGGCTCTTGCTAAGAATAGTATTATGCATTCACCAGAAATTACCTTTTAGCAACTTTTAAAAAAATTCTAGTAATAACACACTGCGCCAGTGTGGTGCTTGGCCGTTGACAATGTGTCATCAATACCATCACCTCATTTGGCAGTACATCTGAATACATTTTGGGTGTGAGCAAGAGCCTGAGCTTTGGAGTCAGATTGGTTGGCGTTCACACTGAAGTTCTGCCAGTAACAGACTGCAACCCTGTGCTGGTTACTTATCTCTAAGCCTCAGCTTCCTCGTTCATAAAAAATGGCACTCCTGCCTCACGGTGTTGTTTTCTGCCCATGCATGGCACAGAGCAAGCTCAAAAAATGGACGTTGGGTTGCTACTTCTACTCCTCATCCTGCTACAACCTTATGAAAACCAGGCCACATGAGTATTATTATTCCCTTTATAAGGGTAGGGAAACTACTCAGATAGGTTAAATTCCTTGCTCAAATAGATGTCGTTACTGAGTAGTGGACAGAATAAATGGCTTTTCAGTGCATACTCTGTTATTTGTTGGGTTCCAAACCCCAGAACTCAAATGGTGCTTGAGGTTCATCCAAAAGTTTGCTTGGATCCTGCATTCCCATTTTAATATCCCGAAGCTCTGCGGCGCCTGACGATTATACTGCAGTTGCAGTTGAAGTGATTCAGCTGTTTAGTCGGGACCTCAGTCCTTTAGCCATGACGCGTGCTTTATTCAGGTTTCGGTCACTAATGTGTTTCATAAATGATGATGAAAAAGAGAATATTTGACTTTGAGGTGATTTAAAATCTACTGTCCCCTGCAGACCTACTTAAGCTTGGGTATACTTTGTAAAGGATGGGGAAAATATCATATAATTTACAACATTACATGTGGCAGCTTTTCCGTACGGAGGGAAAATTTTTGTGTTCATAAATTGCGTTTCTGAGTTCTGTAGGGGGTAAGCACTATGAACACTAGATTTCTAAAATATTTTCTGGGTAAGTGTTACCCCAGAACAATTCTGGGTCTCACCAACATGTGGACCCTTAAATTCTAAACCCTAGAATAGTAGTTCTTTTTATAGGAGAACACTAAACAGCATATTATACCTTCAGTGTCAGTTATTGAGAAAACACATGACCAGAAAAATCAGAAATCAGTAACAGTTTTGTAAGAATTCATCAGTTATAAAAGGGGTCTACAGTGTCAGGTGGATTTTGGATTGATAGAGAGACCCCAGATACACCCACTGCAAGATTCCCATTGAATTAGCCGATGATAAAGAAATGTAGCAAACTCGAGATGACCAGATAGGGTGGAAAGGAAGATTTTCCAGTTGCTGTTGAATGGACTCCAACTCATGGTGACCTCGTGTGTGTCACAGCAGAACTGTGCTCCGTGGGGTTTTCAATGGAAGTAGGTCACCAGGCCTTTATTCTGAGATGCCTCTGGGTGGACTCAAACCTCCAATCTTTGGTTAGCAGCTGACCATGTTAACTGTTTACACCACCCAGGAACTCTTGGAAATGAAGATAACCTATCTTAAACTTTTCCCTGGGCTCTCGTTCCCTAATGGGCATATGCAGTTGACTGTGTGTAGGGTGCTGCTAAATCCGAATGAAGATATGTATTTTTGCTCTATCACAAGTCTTATATTTGGGGCTTATTCAGGAATACTGATTATCTGTGCTTCTCATTTAATAAAATTTTTATAATCATGAGGCTGTCTTAGGTCTTCAACCAAAATCAAAGTCAGCAAGGCCACATACTCAGCTAGGGGATAAAAGCAGAGTCGGTTCCCAGGTGGTACCTGAGCAATATCCCCCTTCAGTTTCTTAGAACTCTAGGGGGCCTGTCTTCTCAGAATCCACCCCTGATTCTGGTTTTTGACTTTCTAATCCAGGTAGTTCCGTAGGGGATTTAGTTCGAAGACCATGGTGACAAATGCATTTCACCATATTGTGCCACTTGGACCCATGGTGGGTGTTCATATGATTATGCTTTTGTAATCAGGCTCCGTTCAGTTAATTTACATCAGTCAGTGGGACTTAGCTCAGGCATACTTTGTCTTATTTGACCCTTTTGAGCATCACCACAGCATATAGCCTTTCAGGGACCCAACAGGTACCAGTTGGCCATTGTTTTCTTCTTGATGTGCCTCTCACACTTTGACCAGGTGGAGCCTCTTCAAGGTGGCTTCCTTTTCCCCCCATAAAATCACCTCCAGACATCTTTGAAACTATCATTGCTTTCTCTCAATAAGAAATGCGAAGATCATCTTAATTTCTCTTGTCCCCAACTTGGAACCAGCCACTCATCAAGGAGCCCAGATCATTTTTGTGGATCTGAAATCTGGCATGAAGGTGCATGTTACTGCATTTTGTTTCACGTGAGTGCTGGCTTTAGGGCAGAGTTTAGGGGCCACTTTAGTGATAGCACAGAAATGTTGTATTTTTTTCCAAATGGTCCTGATATGGCCAGTTTACCTCTGTATTTAATAAGTTTATGTTGTTCTAATTTGAGGGCTCGCTGAATGCAAGCTTTCCTTTTTCCTTTTCGTTCACTGACTATGCTGGGTCACACTCTGTGTTGTCACACTGTGTATGTTTAAATTGTGTTGTTCATAATTTTAGATGTTTTCATTTTTCTTTTTCTTTTTGAACCCTTGGGTCAAGCATCATAGAATTGGCTCCAACGTTGGTAGGCCCAGAAGACCGCTCTATCAGCATCACTTAAGCACCTTCTATTTGAAAAGGAAAAAAAAATCCTTACCTTCCACCAGGGAACCCTAAAGCAAGTCAAAGTACAGGGCACTCAGTGTTTTGAGGTCACCCACCTCATGGTACCTATACGTGTAATTCAAACACCTGCTATCTCAGACTTTAGGATTTTCAGAGAAATACAAGATTTTGACTTTTTGTCTGAAATTCTCTTAACTCTTCATTTTAATGGACTGTGTTTGGTTTTGGGGTTAGGGTGGGGAGTAAGTTGG